AATTCTTCTTATATACATGGTTGTTTCAGTGATTCATGGTTCGGAGCACCAAACAACCATGTATATGACTATGAGTCCAGAACCAGAAATAATTAATTCTTCGTAGAGTCCAGACATTCAGAATGGAAGGCAATTTCTCTAAATACCGATGACCCTAAAGCTAGGCAAAAGGAAGCAATTTCTCCATTGTCTTTTTCTGTGATTTTGGCAAAGGGTAAAACATTGACGCGAAGGTAAGCGCTGCGTTGAAGTTTAAATACAGCGTGGCTATTCGTTTCAGCTTCAGGATGCTTCTTGCTCACTGAAAGTTGCCATGTTCGACAGCTATAGCGTTCACTGACGAAAGCCTTTGCCTCAAAAGACGATCTACTGTATTTGCCGAGTCGAGCACGAGAATACTGATTTTTTATTACATACGTTTTCCTGTTTACTTTGTTGAAAAACATTCTCACGTTTACTCGTGTCAGTACTTTGTGCATTTTCGACGATGTTTGCCTACGCAGCTAATAATTTCAGTGTTGAAGCTGAAGTTGAAGGCCGTGCATGACAACCACGTAGTGGTCAAGAGGGCAAGAGCCATAAAGCCTCGCGGATCCGGTTCCGACGTCAACAACGACATGGCCGACGTGAAACTACAGTTCGATGAGAACAACGAAAACTGTCCCTGCAATATGGCCAAAGCACAACGCAAGAAGCGCTACCTGGCCATGGCCAGTCAGGACTCTCAAGGCAACTATGTGTTGAACTTAATCCTCCCATGGAGAAAGGAGAAAGTATGTGAACATTTTGAGGCGTATCAGTGGGCTTCTCGTTATTTCGGACAACGAGACTAACATTAATCGCATTAAGTACAAAATATTAACAAACTGTAGGAGATGTACAATTGGTTGAGCGTTTTTGGAATATTAGATGCAAACTTATGCCGTCTTAGCACCGTCTTACCTCTAAGCTTAAGACAGTAAGCAGATGCAAGTTGCAAATTCTGATCGGTCGGATGGAAACTCTGTAAGAATCGTTCATGTTTTACACAGACACACGTTGCTTTATTATTTTTTAACGATGTACATTAATTATTTAAAAAGGGATCTGAAAATCATGGACATCGGCCACCGCTTTGATCAGTCACCAAAGCTCGTGCGCAACCAGAAATATTTGTGATGACATTAAACCCTTTTATGGAACAGTCAAAGGCCTGTTAATTTGTGCATTAGCTGATTCAGAGAGTTGTCCTCTATCCAAGTCGTAAACATCTCCCTCATTATACGCAGAAGTTCGAAATCACTGTTTTCCAGCACATCTCCTGAACCTCAATGTATCCATGAAACTTCCATTATCTTTTTAAATAGTGACACGTGATTTTGATTAAGTGCATAATGATGACAACTGTGAAGAGTAATCATACAAACTACATTTCCATTTGAGGTATGGATGACCATTTTTTGAAACACTT